CATCTGAAAATCAATATCCCAGGTATATTGTTATTTCTTGGCATTTTGAAATCCTAAAGGACAAGACTTTCCAAATAAAATCCAAAGGAGTAGAGCTTGTTATTAGTTTTTTTTTTGGTTTTTTTTTTGTTTTTTTTTTTTTTAGCCAGGTTGATTTAATAAGGTGTCTGATAAATCAATTTCAACCAGAAATTAAGGAGAACCAGGATCTGGCACTCACAGAAACAAAACCTGTCTCAAACCATAAAACACCATTCTTCATGCATTAGTTAGAAACTAGTTAGAAAAACACAAAAAGGTAGGTGTGGGGTTATGTAATGACTACATTTTCCCTTTTAATCTTATCAATTTCACTCACCTTCCAAAAAAAGGGGGGGTTAGGTTAGGCCTTATCCTTTCTAACGATGTTCTGACTACCCCCTTTATAGTCTTGGCTGCAAGTAAGTCATAAGCCTAAATTGTTTACAAAAGAAGTTCACATCAAGAGTCTTAAAAACTACAGTATCCTTACCCAACTAATTCTTTTTTCTGGGTATCAGGTTCCAGTGAAATCTCATTTGATGCATCATTCTTAAGTCCTGGAAGATTCTGGAGAGACAAATGAGTTTCATTTGTTGCAACCTCCTCTTCAGCATTGGTAGTACATTCCTCTGAAGTTGATAAGGCTTTAGATGTTACTGCTTCCTAGAATATATCAAATTATTCCAAAATTAATGCATGATGCAAGCACTTAAAATTCTGAAATTGCAAAATAGTGCAACACACAAGGAACAAAACTCAGGAAAAGCGGTTAGAAAATAATTTTTAGTTCTCCACACCCTGACATGTGTAACATTTGACATTAAAAAAAAAACCTAACTGACACCAAAGTCATAGGTAGATGACACTTTGCATAGATCCATGTTGGGCACCAGTTTGTCCATCATCACCATTTTAAAAAATGTTCTATTTACCAGTTGGCTTCCAATTGCACTTCAAAAAGCTGTCATCTATAAAGCCCTTCATGAGTTAGGGCCTGGTTACTAACAGAATTGCCACTCTTTAATCATTTCTGATTTTCCTATATGAACTGACAGAATTGGCATGCTCTATGTCCAATCAACTAAGCAATGTATCCTATGGGTCCTCAGAACTACGTGTCTTCTGTTGCTGGTTCTGATCTTTGGGACATTCTCTCCGAAGTCTACATAATCCCAATCTGCTATTTTTTAAGAAAGCTTTAAAAAAACTGGCTCTTCTGAGCCAGGATATTTTGTGAAATGCACACAAATACCAACAAACATAAACACAAAATTACAAATCCTTAAACTTAAATCCTTTTACATATCCTTAAAATTATTCCAAATGGGTGGCTTATAAATTTAACAAAATAAATAAAACAAGTTGCATTAATTACAAGCAACAAAATACAAAGTTAAAATAATCTTACACTTAGATTAGCTGTCTCACTACATTCACTCTTTTCTGCAATATCCAATTGGGGTTGTAGTGTGTTTAACAATTCCTCTTTCTTTGATGCATTTTCTAAGTTCTTCTTACATCTTGATTGCGAACTCTCCAATGAATGTTCTATTTCAACAGTATTATCTTTTTTTTCTTCCTGAAGACTGAAATCGCTGATTAACAAAGGGGAAAAAAATCAACCTATAACTATTATAATTTAGAAAAAGATAATTTTTGTGTTCATGGAGATTTTAGGCCTTGACATTTTAAAAATTATATAAATTAACATTTAGATAGGAGTGCCCACTATAATATCTAATTTATTAAAAAGAATTATGATGATTTTCAGACGTACAAAAGTTGCAATTAATTTGTTAAGATTCTAATAAATCTCCAAAATGTTCCTATGCAGCTTGAAACTAATTCTGAGAAGATTATGGAGGCAAAACACTGCTAAGGCATCTTTGGTTAAAAAAAATATCAAATGAAGCTTAAAATTACACGCCACTTTCATAAACTCTGGGGTTCAGCTTTTGATTCAAAGTTGCTTCAAACTGTACTTTTGAATGCAACAAAATTAGTAATTGTTGTATTTGTAATTGGAGAATGAACACATTTTTTAACATTAAATATAAATCAAATGTAGTTTTTATTCTGACAGATTCCACTACTTAATACTGAACCTCTGTAACACTTTTAGAGTATCTCTCTCAATAAGCCACCAAAAGTGACCTGTAGCTTTAAGATGACAAAAAATAATGTGCTCTTCAGGTAAGTCTAGACTCTAGAGGGACTCCTGCCTTGGAGCCTCTGCTACTTAGAATAAGGATATAGGATATATTTATCCTAGTTTAGAAATATAATTGGATTTGAATTGGTATAGGAGAGATCCTAAACTCTTTGTAGCAGGAATAGGAGATTGTTAGTAATTTTATTCAATCTGAATCTTTTGGTACCTGAAATATTATGTAGAGCATTTCCATTATTTAAGCTCATCATTAGTCACTATATAGCCAACATGGATAAATAATTCATGCACTATAACAAGGGTAGGCCTCCTTTTTTTTGTTGGGTTGCAATTCCCATTTACCATTATGTGAGGTTGATGGGAGCTGAAATACAACATTGAGAGTGTTAAGAACTGAGAATCACAAGTGGGAACCAGCAGGTCCTGCTCTAGAAAGAAGTATTATGTAATTGTTCACAGCTGTATCCTAAGAGGCCAGCCATATATCCATTAACTCAGAGGGGCAGGAAGAAAATACTGAGAAATTAAACTGCAGCAGAATCGGTCGTAAAATCAAGATGGCAAGTGCAAATACATGGTAGTGTCTAGGCCTCTTTTATAAGTAGGCAATACTGCACACATTAAAAAGGGGCACAGTTTTGATTGCATGATTGCAACTATCGTTAACCATTTTGACCTCCCTGCTGCAGATTCCTGTGCTAGCATGGATAATATACAAAATATGCCTACAGTTTCTGCACTGCCATGGATGATCCACTATTGGGTTAAAGTTATTTTCTTGAGGCAATGAACATGTAGCTAGCTGAGTTATGTAGTCTTCTACAAAATTAAGCCAAAGACAGGATAACAATTTATGTGTATAGAGGTCTGAGCCTCAGTTTGAAGCTGATAGAGAGAGCCCCTAATGCCAGCCCCGTGCTATATATGGGCTATGTCATAAAGATAGATATTATGCATTTCCCCATGAAAAGGGGTTTTTAGGTGTTTGTTCTCAATTTTTAAAATAAAATATGCCTACCTGCTGGCAGGATTTCCCACATCCTTTGTAATATCAAGTGACAAAGAGACACTTTGTAGTGTATAACTTTCAGACTCTATAGGGTTCTTCGCAGGAGATTGGTTTGAATGTGCTTCATCTACTTTCTCATTGCTGACAACCATTCTTTTTTCTAATGTCTCACACTGCGGTGTGTCAGCTTCATGAGCTGTTGCATCCTAGAAAAAGAATAAATCCCTGAGGTATAAGACTTTATAGAGAAAAATGATCAGCTAGAATAAGGCTAGTTTGCCCAGGGGAGAATGCAAAGTTTTTAAAAGTCATTAATTCACATATTAGATAACAGAGTACTGTATTTCATTTTTTTAAAAAGACAATGAAATAGCAGCAAAAGGAAAATTCTTTATCAGAGGTATTCAGATTCCCAAATTATTGTTGTACTGAACTGCTGGTGGTAAGGAATTCTTCAATTATGAACTTAATGCCATTCAAAAACATATAGCACAGCCATAGTAATGCTGACGTAAGAGAAATAAATCCAACATATACAAATTAAGTTTTTATATCCACTGCAAAAGTAGAGACTAGGATTGTCAGCATATATAAAGACTATTCAGTTTAACCTGTTCCCAGGATTCTAAATTCCAGGTTGTAGTAATCAAATAGTTTGGTCAAACTATAGGAGTTGCTTTTAATATATCAGTATATGCTTCACAAACAGGTAATCCTCAACTTATATCAATTCATTTAGTGACCATTTAAAGTCACAATGGCATTGAAAAAAGTGACCTATGACTGTTTTTCACACTTATGAACATTGCTGCCGGAATGGGACAATTTGCCATGCTCAATTCACCACAGCCAACTCACTGGGACCAACTTGCCACAACTTGCCATAGGAGAATTGAACAAACACCGTCACCAATAATAATAAAATAAAGAAATCAATCCAGAAATACAAGAGTTACAATAATTTTGATGAATGTGTGATTGCCAATAAAAGTAACTGAATAAAATGATTAATAATACAGTGTTGAATTGTCCTGTCACAATTGTCCCACAGTGAGTTGGCTAAGATGAGTTGGCCATGGTGAGTTGGCCATGATGTGTTGGCTGTGGCGAGTTGTCTAGCAGCATCCCCATGGTCACACGGCCAAAATTGGAGCACTTGCAACTGGCATCTATTTATAACAGTTGCACTATTCCATGATAATTGTGATCACTGTATTTGTAACCATCCTAGCTAGCTTCTGACAAGCAGTCAATGGGGGAACTCAGATTTGCTTAATGACTGCATGATTCACCTAACACCAGCACTGATTCACTTAACAATTATGGCAAAAAGGTTGTAAAATGGGGCAAAACTCATTTAACAACTGCCTTAACAATAGAAAATTTTGGTTCAACTGTGGTCGTAAGTCAAGGACTAACTGTAATAGGTACCTAAGCTGAACAGGCGGACTTATTAGAGTAGACTAAACTATCGTTGTATAGCACATGTCTTAAATACAGAGAAACCATACCATAGTTTAAGAAGAAACTCAAATTAATTCAGTGAAGGCACTGGTATCTTAAACAATACATATTTCACAGAAGGAAATGTTTATAAGTTGATACTTAATTTAGTCAGCCTTTGAAAGTTATTGTTTTACATACATCATACTTACAGTGGTATTCTTATTTAGAAGTTGACATTCATTATATTCAGTATGTATCACAGTCTTTTCAGTGATTATTGCTTCACTTGCTAATTCAGTCCCTGCTTCGCTTGGTTTTTTTTCTGCCTCAGTGCTTCTTTCAGGTAGTTCTTGCCTTCTAGTAATTCTTCCTAAATTTGGTTTTGGTCTCTGAAATCGTCCCCTTGCTAATGGTGCAGGTTTGAGAACAGTTTGCTTGCTTTCTTGTGAGGTGGATTGGTTCTTATTCCTAAAAAAAATCAACCATGAAAAGGCAATAATAAAATGAAGTAATGCCTAGCAATCATTTCTACTATTATTATTAGTGAATAAGGAAGAAAATCCTTGCCCAAATTCTGAGTTCTTCTCCGCATACTTACGCAGATTCTGCATCCAAGCCCTGGCAATGTGTTTCAGTAACCTCAGCTGTGATGATGTGGGGTGCATCATTCTGCTCAATTTCCTGAGAATTAATCATCAAAAAATAAATGGCTGTACCTTTTCAAAACAAATTACTCTCATCAAATTAAATTTAGAAACACTTTATTTTATGAGATTTCAAATTTATATTCTAATTATCTGGTATATTAAGAATATTAATTTTCCCTCATCTCAAATACATGTCGTACATTTTGGAAAATGACTAGTGAACATTCACAAAGCAATCAAACATGACATTGGCAGCTGAGACTTTTCAACGCATTCCATAACTTCTAACTCAACATTCACATACATTCAAGCAAAAACTGCTGATCACCACACTCTACACTGATTCAAATTTAACTATACAATCCTGTTCAGTGTGCTATGAAATGATAAGGTGAGTTATAAAATAATTTTATGCAAGAGAGATAATTGAAAGCTTTCAGTTCCTCAGGTAACACATATAAATCCAAACTAATGAATACCTTCTCGCCTGCACTATTAGATCCAGACTTCTTGAGCTCGCCTTGAGCAGATGTATCTTTTCTGCCAGACACTTTACCGATATTAGGTTTAGGTCTCATCCATCGACTTCTCACTTCCATCTTTCCTGCAAAAGCTTTTGGACTCTCTCTACAGGAAAAAAAGAGTAAAAAAAATCCTAGACTGATTTAGATGAAATGGAACATTTAGATAAATCACCATCCATCAATTTCAAAAGGCAGCATTACTAAGAATAGCTTACATCCTACAACACTATCTCTACTACATCAAACAACTGCCTATCATGTCCTTGGTAAGGACTGAATAGGCGGATAAAAATGCCAAATCTATCGTGTTTTTCAGAGTATAAGACGCACCTTTTTCCCTCAAAAAAGAGGGTGAAAATCTTATATACTGAATACAGCATTTTTGGCTTACCGAAATCCCGCCCCCTTTGCAAAAATGGACGTGCAGAGGGTTTGGGAGGCTTGCAAAGTGCTCCTGAGGACTGGGGAGGGCAAAAACGAGCAAAAAACTCCCAGCCTCCAAGAGTACTCTACAAGCCTCCCAAAGCCTCTTTATGCCCTTTTTTGCAAAAAAATGTGCCTTTTTTTGCTCATTTGGGGAGGTTAGCCCCCAGGAGCACTCTAACAGCCTCCCAAAGCTCTGCATGCCCCCCCTTTTTTTTGCATAAAGTGAGGTGTGCAGAGGGTTTGGGAATCCTGCAGAGTGCAAAAACTTTTTTTTAAAAAATTACCTCTTCAAAATCATGGTGCGTCTTATAGTCTGAAAAATACGGTAATCTAAATGCTAACATATTTTTCGGAGTATAAGATGCTTTTTCCCCTCAAAAAGGAGGATGAAAATCTGGGTGCATCTTATACACTGAATACATTTTTGGCCCCCTAAAATCCCGCCCCTTCACCAAAATGACCATGTATAGCCTTTAGGAGGCTTCCAGAATGGTCCTGGGGGCGGGGGAGGGCAAAAATGAGTGAAAAACGGGCTGGTTTTTGCTCGTTTTGATGCCATAGTCCCCAGGAGCAGTCTATAAGCTTCCTAAAGGCTATGCATGCCCTTTTTGTTGACAACAATGGGTCCATTTTTGTGAAAAATGGGCCATTTTTGAGAGGTCGGCAGAGTGCAAAAACTTTTTTATTAAATTTGCCTCTTCAAAATCTTGGTTGTCTAATACTCCAGTGCGTCTTATACGCTGAAAAATATGGTAAATGCTAACTGTGCAACACACTGTAATAAATTACTTACTCTGTTACTCTTATGACATCACTGCTTGCATTGCATGTTTCTTCTGTAGCAGATCCAGAAATGGAAGCAGCTTTATTTTCTACAAGTGACTCAGAAGAAACTTTATCAATTAATGGGTTAGATGCTACAGGTTCTATTTTTTCAGATGCTCCTCTTAAGTCTGATTCAAAGTTCTGCAGCTGTACCTCCTGTGTGGGCTTTTCAGGAATTGTCCTATCTGTTTCCCTGCAAATAAATTGGAAATATCCATTTTGCACGTAAAACACAGTCTCTGAAAACTTAACCAGAATAAGAAAAAGTTATTAGGAAAGTGCCTACATACACATTTTTCTTCAAATAACTGATCCCACCCTTTTGCCATCTCACAAATTGCCCTGATTCTTAAACTGCCATAGAGAAAACAAAGCACTTCAGACTTGTTTGGAAGCCATTCTATCCCACTTCATGTTAGGGAAAAGATCTCCTTTGGTTCTGGGAGGAAGAACAACTTTTACTCACATGATTTCTTCACAAGGTTTTTGTGATGCCACATTCTGATTTTTATCCAGATTATCTCTTATAGCTTCTTCATTCTGCAAAGCAATCAAAGTAGCATGATCTCATTATGAAATACACAATTGATTTATTTATATCTTGCATTTAACAATCAACTCTGATTCATCAACCACAAGGACTCATACACTAACATACACTAAATAACAAATGAACAAGTATGATGCAATGTATGAGCCAGGTCTATGTATGAAAAAAAGAATAAAAAGAAAAAGAAAAGATTGAAAGAAAGTGAAATAAGTGGAGGATCTACTATCTAATTAGCAATGGGACATTTTTAATCAATCCTAGTCCAATCATATTGCAGCCAATAATACCAAGAATTTGGCAATATACCTATACAGTAAATGCAGGTCCAGAGCTTTCCCACTTTCTACCTCCGAACACAAAGAGCCCTTGTCAAAACCAATATCAATATTCAAATTTTTGGGCTCACTGACTTTGCTGGAATGGAGCACAAGTCTTTAAAATGACATGTTTGTAGTATAGATTTAATATAGATATTCCTCAAAATAAAGAGAATTAGCAAGCTTTAACAGAGAAAAGCTAAGAACTATTTTACCTGGGCTTCAGTGGACCTCTCAAAATCTTCTATATTTTCTTTTGGAGTCATTTGAGACACCGAATGTTGCTCAACATGGTGCTCAGAAGTAACTGATGAAACATCCTCTTGTCCTGGTTTACTTTTTTGAATATTGAAAATATTATAATATGCAGGCAATACATATATAGTTCTTTTTTATTATTTTAACTTATGAAGAACTAATGGCATTTCTCTCTTTGTATAATGTGTAAGCTACAAAACAGACTTATCCTAAAAATTATTCAAGCAAGCAGAGTGGCACTATATTGTTCAGTGAGCGATACTCCCATTTTTAAGTCCTTACTAATGTACAAACCGGTTCTATATAGTCATAGTAAAAAGAGAAAGGAAAAAGTCATCACTTTTCAAAGTGCAGGTAAAAATAAAAACTCACAGGGAAAAAACCTTTATCTAAAATAATCAGACTGTAATAGTTAGAGAAAAAGTTATCAGAGGAAAATTTGTTCATAGTGCACAATAGTCAATTCATTGTTTATTAGACGCACAATAGATTTCTCCTCAACCAAATAAAAAGTAGTTTTCAACATTCCTAAATTCTAACAAGATTAAAGTTCATATACAGCTTTATCAACATGCTGAAAACAGCATCATTTACTGAACTGAATCTGAATATATTGTTGTTTCTTAAATTACACAAGAAACATTTAAAATTAAGCCACACAAGAGAGAGTCTTATAAAGAAAGTTATAAATATGTGCTGTGCTTTGCAAGATTGCTTTGATATAGTATAAAACGTATATATAATTTATACCTATGGTCTTTTCCTGCTTCTTCATTTAACCTGATACAGCTTGGTGGTTCTTCTTTATCCATGATAAGAGTTTCATCTGGGATGGTTCTGTTTGGGACTTCCAGTTCATCACCATCTTCCCGAATGCCACTTATCTCATCATTAGCCAATATATTTTTTCCTAAGAACAGATTGTCATGCATTAAAAATCCTTCGAACTGGCCATAACTGTTAAACCTATCCATACTTAGTTATATTCACAGTACTGTAATCATTTTCTCTGAATGAAATTGAAGACTGCTTTGTTGTGTATTGGCCTGCCTCCTCACATAACACTTTATACAAAAAACGATCAGTGACATTATGGTTTAGTACTGTAGGTGAATCAAACTCTCTACTTCTGCCAGGTTCTTCCCATGTAAATAAACTAAGTCTCAATGGAATGTTTATTGTATTTTTCCATTTGTGTTTGTTATTGTGTGTTTTTTAAATTCACAAGTAATCATCATCTTCCAGATAAAAGTAAGAGTTAATGCTGATAGCAGAACAGAACATTTCCCTCTCATGCCTTCTTCCCAAATATTTAGGAGACTTCTGGAGGACCTGTACACCACAAAGGAAAATGGCACACAGGATGTTGTACAAAAATGGGAGAGAGGGAAGAAATTAGGCGCTTTCCACTAATGGCAGCATTCCAAGTAAAAATTTGTCCAGGAAGGATTTGTACCAGTGGAATAAAAGTTATTAGATAATAACTTTAATAATTCTTTAATAAAAGAATTAAAGTTCAGAAATTAGCAAAATCAAGACATAATATCTCAGTGGTACAACAATAGCATTTCAAAAGCTTACTTTTCTTTCTAGTCGTTTTTTCTTCCATCATTTCTGTTGGAATATTTCTTTCTTCAAGAAGATTGTCTGTCTCCTGTTCAGAATCTTTTTTCTTTCTTTTCCTTTTCTTTTTGGTTACTGCTGATTCAATAACTGTTTGCTCTTTTGCCTGTTCCAAAATGCTAGGAGATTCTTCATTCTCCTTTTCCGCTGTTTCGGCATCTACTTCTATTTCCATGTCAGAACTTCTACCATCCTGATGTTCATCTGGACCATGGTTGGACTGTCCATTTACAACTTTATCTATCAAAGTATGCAATAATTAAGCAAAGGTATTCCAAATAATGAAAAATAAACTTGTTCAAACAGCATGAACAATATGGAGAAATTCCATTTGTTGCTCCTTATAAACTCACAGCATCTTCTGCTCTCCTAATGTCAGTCACAGAATTGCTAATTGTTTTAGTTATACAGACATTTCCTTCATCTTTGTCAAGGTTATATATCTATACAGTACTACAGCTCTTTGCATGTGTTTGGTACTTTGAAATCTTCAATTAGGTAAAACATTGCATCATAAAGCAAAACTTTGTCAACAAAGATCCCCTAAATGGACTAACTTACTGAATGCCAAAACCCATCACTCTGGAAGGAATTAAATTTGGGGATTTTTTAAATTATTTTTTTGCCACTTTAACACTACCACCATGCTGTCAGTAGCAGTCAAGTGATGCTCCTTTTCAACATTCCCTGATAGTTTCCCACAAACTGTCTCATATGAGGGAGGAACTTATGTGATTGCTGACACTCCTACGCTCTTTGCTATCTCCTTATTAGCAAAAGTTTTGCCTGTGGGAAAATTTCAGGAAGAAAGACAATGAAGAAATCATCCAGTCCCTATGCAGTATGCCAACCACTCATTTACTCCCTCACTCCCTTCTCCACCTGGCAGCAGCTAATTAACTGCCTGCTGGAAAAGGAAGGGAAAGGAAAGGAAAGAGGAGGGAGGGAAGGAGAAATGGAAAGAAGGTTTTTGACATTGGTTGCCAGCTTCACCCAAGGAAACTCAATGAGGAAGCTAATACGAAATTAAAAGTCATTCCCTCTGATATTTTTGCCCATCCATGATCAATCTGTTTTTCTGTTGAGGTAAAGAATATCTCTGAAATGATAACCTGGGTCACAGGTTGTCTGGTATTATATACAAAATATTTCACTAAAAACTATCAGGATTGTTGAAGTAGAATTAATATTCTGCTTTGATCAATAAAAATGCAAGGACTTATCTAGGCAATAGCCAAGAATCAAGAATGATTCAAACGTACAGTCACACAAAAATCAGATTATGTTCAAGTGTCCTACAACTACTGTCCTTGTATAGAAAGAACAGAATGCCATATAGCAAAGGGGAGATATTCATGACTTTGCCAAGCATCTTAAGTATTATTAAAATTACCTTTTCGCTTTTTCTGAGTTCTTGGTGTATTTCTCTTATTGGGATTTTTTTCTTTTTGTTGCTGATTTGCAGCATCTTTATCTTTCTTCTTCCTCTCATTTTCCAGGACCTTCTCAAGGAGTTTCGTAAAAAAACTGAAGTCAAAAGGCCTTTTTTCTTCTGTCCAAAAAAGAAATGATACAATAAGTTACTCAATACAAAATATACTTTATTAAATGGAATAAGTGAAGTAACTATATCATTAACTTTAGTTCTGTTTATTAAAATAAGTCTTTGCTTATTTAAAAAAAACATGCAACAATGAATGTGTGACTTTTAATGTGTCAAGATTTTAAAAACATTTGAACTATTTAAAATTAATTAAAATATTTTGTAAATATTACAATGAAGGAAGATTGTACGGTAGTACTTAGATGCATATCTGTCTGAGAAATGTTAAGGGTAAGTTCAATGATATGTTGGGAGGCCATTCCTGCCAATATATTAGAAAAAAATGGTCTCATTTTCATCCTAGAGTCCTCATATTACAAGATCAAGGATCTGATTTTAAGGCTAACATGAAAGATTGCAACAAGAATTTAAAAAAAAATCCCTCTCAATTATCAGAGTTCTACTCAAACTATATTCATTATTCAAGAAATGAAATAAGCCCTTCACCCTGAGATTCATACTGTGTAGATGCAGTCCAATGAATTTTTACTAATGCACATAAAAATGTTTTCAAAGCGGAAAAATAGCATATACCAATACTTACTAAATGCTTTATCTATTCTCCATCCATTGGCTTTTTCTTCCCGCTTAAATTTATTCTGAAAACAGAATGTTGTAACAAGATAATTACTTTATTGAGAAATGATATTGGTTTAAATCCGTACTTATTCCTACTCAGAGAATGAAAGGAGAAGGTTGTATGTTTTTATTCTATATGTTTTCTAGGTAAGAGACAGAATTTTTAGTATCCATAAAGCAAGTTTACCCTGAACAAAAGCAAAGTTAATACTTTGAATTAATATCAGAATAAAACTCTATTTATGATTAAAACTGCAATCCAATGAAACATACTGATAAATAGACATTAGTCCTATGAGAAATAATAGCCATAATAATGATGATAGCATGATAAGTAAAAATAAGAAGCCTAAATACAGAACAAAAACTAATTAATCTACATCAAGAGTGCCTAGTAAAACATTTTTTGGAAAAAATACATAAATGGCTAGAAAAGATGATTGGAAAGCATGTAGATTTTAAACCTGAACTATTTTTATTAGGTATAATATCAGGTAAACTTGATAAGAAAATACGTATTTAATATTGCACAACTTGACAGCAGTGAGGATTGTATTTGCATAATGCTGGAAAAATGAAGAAACACCACCAGGTGAATAATTAAGAAGATATTAGTGTGTGCAGAAATGGACAGACTGACATTAAAAATGAAACAGAAAAAAGATACAGAATATTATTAGACATGGAACCTATTTTATCAGTGGTTGGAAAAAAGGGATGGAGAATGTAATGCCAGACTAATCTTATTGCATTCTTTGATAATGTGACAAAATTAGTGGACCAGAGGAATGCCGTCGATATAGTTTACTTGGACTTCAGTAAGGCATTTCATAAAGTAGAACATAAGCTACTACTAGATAAAGTAGAAGAATGTGGGTTAGACAGCATCACCACCAGATGGATTCGTAACTGGCTGACCAACCGCACTCAACGTTTAGTCCTCAATAGAACTGCATCTTCATGGAGGGAAGTATGCAGTGGAGTACCCCAAGACTCTGTTTTAGGCCTAGTACTCTTCAACATCTTCATCAATGATTTGGATGAGGGAATAAATGGGGAACTCATCAAATTTGCAGATGACATCAAGCTGGCAGGAATAGCCAACACTCCAGAAGATAGGCTAAAGATACAGAAGGATCTTGACAAACTTGAACATTGGGCACTATCTAATAAAATGAATTCAATGGTGAAAAGAGTAAGTTCTACATTTAGGCAACAAAAACGAAATGCACAGGTACAGTATAGGTGGTACCTTGCTCAACAGTAGTAACTGTGAAAGGGATCTTGGAGTCCTAGTGGACAACCATTTAAATATGAGCCAGCAGTGTGTAGCAGCTGCCAAAAAAGCCAACACAGTTCTAGGCTGCATAAACAGAGGGATAGAATCAAGATCACGTGAAGTGTTAATACCACTTTATAATGTCTTGGTAAGGCCACACTTGGAATATTGCATTCAATTTTGGTCACCACGATGTAGAAAAGGTGTGGAGACTCTAGAAAGAGTGCAGAGAAGAGTAACAAAGATGATTAGGGGACTGGAGACTAAAACATATGAAGAACGGTTGCAGGAACTGGGTATGTCTAGTTTAATAGAAAGAAGGTCTAGGGGAGACGTGATAGCAGTGTTCCAATATCTCAGAGGTTGCCACAAAGAAGAGCGAGTCAAACTATTTTCCAAGGTACCTGAGGGTAAAACAAGAAGCAATGGGTGGAAACTAATCAAGGAGAGAAGCAACTGAGAACTGAGGAGAAATTTCCTGACAGTGAGAACAATGAATCAGTGGAACAGAAGTTGCCTCCAGAAGTTGTGAATGCCCCAACACTGGAAGTCTTTAAGAAGATGTTGGATAGCCATTTGTCTGAAATGGTATAGGGTTTCCTGCCTAGGCAGGGGGTTGGACTAGAAGACCTCCAAGGTCCCTTCCAACTCTGCTATTATATTGTATTGTATTGTAATATGTATTATTAAGCAAATTAAATACCCAGACAACATGATGTTTATTAAGCACTAAGAAATGTAATTAATAATAATAAAAAAGGCTGCCAGGTATATTCTCTGGTATCGCCAGAAACAGATAAAATTGAAATGATGTAAATTAATTTTAGGATAACATAAAATATTAAATACACAAGCTAAAGAATATCTTGTTGGTCCTGTTAATTTTTTTTTCAAAATGTTTACCTTGATTTCTGTTCTTGCTCTGTGAGGAAAAAGCTGACTAATCATTGAAAAGTCAGTTCCTACCATACTTATGGCTAAGAAAAACATGTCTGTTTCTGTAATTAAAAAAAAAGATAAAAAGATAAAATATGGTTAAAGCAATTGCCATTTTTAGCAATAAACATATTGTAGAAAAATCTAAACATCAAAATATCATTTTTTTTCATAATTATCAAAAATGTTCTGTATTTCACATTAGGAAACTATGTGATCTGCCTTACTTGAACTTCATCCAGAGTCTGTCTGTCACTTTCAAGAACTACAGAAAAGGTGACATATCCAGGTGTCTGAGGTTCTTTTTGCATATGAAGTAAATAATGCACTGTTGAATTATCTCCTATTTTTAAGCCACTAACCATATCTGTTACATGAATTGCACATTTTAGTAAGAACTGAAGAGGCTCATACTTTCGTCATTCCTCGAGGTTTCAGTTAATTGAAGAATAACTGAACTTTTAAAATATCCTAAACACAAAGCATTTTTTAAAGTTATTTGTCCTCTTTACAAATGAACTATATACCAACAAATTCACCAACTAGAGCTGGAAAGTCACACACTAATCCTAATATTGATCTATGAAAAATTGCTCAATTGTTTATCATGTGTAAATCACCTGATGAATAATTTCAATATGCATTATTTCTAATTCCGTTTAACGCATTAAAAATACAGGAAATTTCCTGCCTGAGATATTGCGGATTCTTTGGTGCTCTCTGAACTTGGTTGTTTGCTTGCAAACATTTTTTTCTCCAGCTATATTACAACATTAATGCTAGTGAGTGTGGGGTTTGCTCCCTGTTTATATTCATAAGCTTGCCTGCCAATATTCATGTGGATGTTCATGTTTTCTTCTTGGTAGTTCCTAAGGTATAGTTTCTGGATGCTACATTGCAATTTCTCCTATGAGTGGTGGTTCCATGGGTGTGCCTCTGATTTGTCAATATACAGCATCCATCAAACTGAAAGTAGGCGGTGATGCAGAGATTGATGAGGTCAATGATTCCAGGCATTTCAATGTAGGTCAGGTATTGGGCGATTCCTGGAAGCTTGGCATTCAGACAAATCAGTCATCGATATGTATCAATAAGACATATGTACACACCATTCAAAAGAGACAAAATATAAGAAGGAAACAAAAAAGAACAGAAGACATCCCCTCCAGTGGCCACATCCATATAAGCAGGGATGGATACCAGACAACAATCAAAATAAATGCCCTAATCAAGGAACTACCACTGAGAAAAATCACCCACCCACCAACATTGACAAAGCAAGCGATTATATTTAAAGAGGAAGAAAATTCCATAGTGAATAGCACTGATGACGTTACCTACTCAGGTAATGAAATGTCTGCAGAATAAAAACCAAACTCAGAGAGCACCAAGTCCAAAATTCAAACTTTAGTTACATGTATATTCTTCTATTGATATCTTATTTTTAGGCAGTAAATATAATTCATATATATTCTTGGAGTCTATATCTATTAAACTGGATATATCCTTCACATATATCTCACACTGAAAGATGCATATTATATACCCTAATATGCTTCTGTGCCTATTGCACTAAATTATACACACCTTTTTCTGACCATGGTCTGGTATAATAGCTTTTCCTGAAACTTGAATATGTTGTTGTGGAACCACGCTCAAAGATGGGATCATTTTCTTCCACTACACACTGTCCTTTTGTCCTTAAAACCTCTACAGTTAAACTAAATAGGAACAACAAAAAGAAAATATAAGAAATATATCTAAGAAATGCCATAAAAAGCAATGTCATCTTAGGAACAATTGCCTTACTAATAATAGAGAAAATTGGCAACCTGTGTTGAAATACAGGTTGTCTTCAACTTACAATAGATAATTTAGTGACCATTCAAAGTTACAACGGCACTGAAAAAAGTGACTTATGGCCATTTTTCACACATGACCATTGCAGCCATCCCCATGGTCATGTGATATACATTTGGATGCTGGTTCACATTTATGATGGCTGCAGCGTCCTGGGGTCATGTGATCCCCTTTTGCAACCTCCTGACAAGCAAAGTCAATGGGGAAGCCAGATTCACTTAACAATTGCAGTGATTCGTTTAACTAATGTGGCAAGAAAAGTCATAAAATGGGACAAAACTCAACACATTTTTCACAATATAAATGTTGGGCTCAATCGTGGTTGTAAGTTGAGGACTACCTGTACAGCAAAATATATAAATATCCAAGAAAGACCGAGAAATTGATGAAAGTTTTTTTTTTGCCCTCAGTATTGCTAAAGCAGCTCTTTAATATTTAGTTTCACTTTACATTAACTTTCCATGACAAATAAATTAGATGATTATGAAGCTCTCCCTCCAGACACAGGACAATGATTACATGTATAATAAATATTTTGAGGGGGGAAATGCATAATTGTCCTATTGCATATCTTTCCAAATCAAGTACCAAAACTCCAATAGGATTTACAATATAAGTCACAGGATATAAATCTTAAAAAGAAAAGCAGAAAAAGGGGATAAATTGAAGGCAGGAATTAATAGCTGGTTTTATTTATACACTGTCAATCCTAATGAGGAAAGTCTTAACTCAAGTACCAAAATATCTTGACCAATATTAAGCACTGCTATAAATAGACACCAATTTTATAACACAAATTGACTGATAGCAAAACCTAACCTTTCTTCATCCAGAATAATTGAGCCATCTTCTGCAACTTTCACTCGAGGGACTAAAAGAGAGCCATCATCTTCCCCTCCTCCTCCTTCTCCTCCTGCTCCTCCTCCCTGTTCTTCATCATCATCATCTTCATTTTCATCTTCATGATCAGCAACTATTCTTTCTTCAGGCCTGAAATTTGGGGAAGTAACAGTTCAAATAGTTCCAAGGTCTTTTCATATTTCCTTTTCAAAACGAAGTATCATTACAAGAATCATTACATCTATCTCATTCTTTTAGCTGGAGTATAACTTTCCTCAGGATGTATGGTCATATTCTTTACCCTAACTAACACACCTATACCTAAAAGATTGCATCAGAACCTTACTTAATAATTGCATATTTATACAAACATAAATTTAATACCACCACCTGTTAATTATGACCTAGGCATTGGATATGAGAACGGGTGATAGGTTTTATTCTTTAGCTGACCTCCTCTTGGTTGCAAATGTTTCTTTCCTCCATTAAACATAGTATGGAATTATTTATGCATTAATCCTCAGGTACTTCTAACACCGCACTGAAAATCAGCGTTTAAAAGTTGGGTTAGTAATGGTAGCTCAGAATTAAATTAAACTTTCTTAAATTACACTGTATAAAAATAATGGTTACATGCTTAAAGTAGCAAAATAATATGAGGAGGAAGTTTTATCTATATTTGCCATCTTAATATAAAGTAATAAAGGCAAAAAAAGAAAGAGAGGCGGAGGGAGGGAGGGGGAGAGAGAGAGAAAGGAAGGAAGGAAATTACAAGCAAAAGGAAAGGATTATAGAGCTGAGCATCCATTCATGCTACATGCCCGATTTTTAATTATAATTAAAACCAGGATTTCATCAAAAGTTCAATATAATTAATCTGCAATAGATTATTAGGATTATGTTTTCAACCAATAATTTAATTTCAGCAATATTAACCAAACATTTTTTTTTATTTTTTACAAATGTATTACTGATTGTACATTTTATTAATACTATTTCAAAAAGAAACAAATTACTCTTTTGCTTGGGTCATTGTAGAGGTCTTTTCTGTTTTCTTCTCTTCAATGAATGAAGACCTATTAAATATTGAAAAGGGCATGAAATGATTCATTTAATCCAGCAAATTTCTTAATTTCATAGTGCATAGTACAAATGCAGTTAAATTGTGTATTTAACCATGCTAATTCCTAGCATGCTACAGTATACATATCTACAGACAAAAATTGAATTTAATTTATTCATATAATGTTCAGTAAGACTGAACTAAGATAAATCTACAACTCTAATCACTTCAGATTTCACAATAATTTCCTGAAAACAACAGATAACAAGATGATTTAAATCCACTTACTTAGGAATGCCAAATTTTCAACAAAGAATAAAAAACAAATTATGCAAATGTTTTATACATATCCAAACCAAAAATGTGTTATCAATTTCAATAAATCTTGCCCTGTAACAATTTGATAAAGTTCCTAGCCACATTTTATTATATTTCTACTCATTTGACTAGAATACAGATGCATTCTTATAGAAACCAATATATCTGTGTGTTTGTTTGTGTGTGTGTGTTGTGTGTGTGTGTGTGTGTGTGTGTGTGTTGTATTTGTGTTGCAACAAAGGCAACAGTAAAAATATTGGGTTTCTGTCTGGATGGTCTCTTATGACGAGCCGATGGACAGAAAATGGAAGCAGTGAACTTCCTCCCATATTTGGGCATACCAGGGGGTTGTGACTTTATATATATATGTGTGTGTGTGTGTCTCTCTCTCTCTCTCTCTCTCTCTCT